ATCTTATGACGGTGTTCAAAGTGTAACTGAAATAATTATTTGGAATATGTTTCTTGTCCTCGTAGCCTATGTGACCCACTATCTGGATAAAACGTTCTATAACCTAACAACCGTGGCTCTGCATGACTGGGCCACCTACAGTGAGATGAGAAACCTCGCCACGCAGCGCTACGGACTCACCATGACCGAGGCTCACCTGCCCAGCCAGACCCTGGAACAGGTATGTGTGTGCACATTTTCATTCAATTATTTTCTTTAAATTGATTTTTCCCAAACAGTTTGCAAAAGCATCAAAGTCTAAAATGATCCAATATTTGAACAATATTCAAAGTAATAAAGTGGAGGCGATACATGATTGATTAATTGTGTCCTCTGTGTTCCTGTCAGGGTCTGGACGTTCTGGAGATCATGAGGAACATTCATGTGTTTGTCTCACGTTACCTCTATAACCTCAACAACCAGGTAACGCTTACAGCATCCAAAGTCTCCCTTCTTGTTTTATAAAAAGCAGCTGTCTGCATTGAATCAAGTTGTATTTCTTTGAAACAGATCTTCATAGAGAAGGCAAGTAACAACAAGCACCTGAACACCATCAACATCCGCCACATCGCCAACTCCATCCGGACACACGGCACTGGCATCATGAACACCACAGTGAGTTTTTTTATTTACTTTGTATTTTACCTTTATTTCACCAGGTAGTTAACCCACTGAGATAAAGATCTCTTTCACAGGGGTGACCTGGCCAGTCACCCAGTGTGTGTGTTTTGGTCTACTTTCAAGAGTACCTTTCTCTCTCAGATTTGCTTGTCTGAAGGTTTGTTCTTCTGTCATCAGGTGAATTTCACTTACCAGTTCCTGCGGAAGAAGTTTTACATCTTCAGTCAGTTCATGTATGACGAACACATCAAGTCCAGACTCATTAAAGACATCCGCTTCTTCAGAGAGACAAAGGACCAGTCTGATCAGAAGGTAAATATACTGTAGGCCCTGTTTTGCCCAAAATGTATACAGACCTGTGACACCAAAAACTTGCATACATAAATGGTAAACATGGCAAGAAAATGTTTAAAGCAGGGGGCGCTGGTAGCCTAGTGGTTAGTGCGCACGCCCCATGTACAGAGTCTGTAGTCCTCCAAGTGGGCAGCCCAGATTCGAATCCAACCTTGTAGCTCCTTTCCCACATGTCATTCCCCACTCTCTCCTCCACGATTTCTGACTCTGTCCACTGTCCTATCTCTAAATAAAGGCCTAAAATGCCTCAAAATAAACCTGAAATCTTTGCTGAATTATCAGCTTTTTCTTTACAACCAATGTAATATTCTCATTTAGCTTGCAGTGTAGGTACAAGCTTCTGTTATAAAAGATTCTGTTATAAAATCATGTCATATCACCAGGCATGATAAGTTCAAAGCTCATAGCCAGTTCTTGTTTAGCTGTAGTCATCCATCATTTTGTTTCAGTATCCATTTGAGCGAGCTGAGAAGTTCAACCGTGGCATCAGGAAGCTCGGCATCACTCCTGAAGGACAGAGCTACCTGGACCAGTTCAGACAGCTCATCAGCCAGATCGGTGAGGAAAACACACAAATGTTTTTGGATCTGCTCTTACCGTTTGATCTTAGAAAGTCAACCCCTAATCCTGGCAAATGAAAAGCGAACACTGTTTAATTTTTAAATGTATGTGTTATCAGGTAATGCTATGGGCTACGTGCGGATGATCCGTTCTGGAGGCCTTCACTGCTGCAGCAGTGCTATCAGGTAAAAAAGAGACGTTCATGTCCTGTTTGTTTTTTTTTCTTTCTTCTTATCTTAATATGAAGGTCTTGAGCTTAATCATTTTCTGAAGGATTGATCTAAATAAAACTCATCCTCACTGGAATATTTCTGTCTAACTTTTTTTGTGTTTGTTTCTAGGTTTGTGCCTGACCTGGAGGATATTGTCAACTTTGAGGAGCTGGTGAAGGAGGAGGGATTGTCAGAGGAGACTCAGAAGGCTGCGGGGTAAAACAGTTTGCTATACTATGCATGTCCCCCAATTGTTTTTCTGCAGATAATTATGATATTTTCTGAAATGGATGTTGGACTGAGTTTAATTGAAGTCCAGTCTCATTTCAAGTATGTGTAGAATTCAGTTCTGGGTTCATGTGTCTCTGCTGCACACAAGTCATTTCTTCACTTGTGCTTGCTGTCAAATAATGTACATGTATTTTCAGTGTATTTCCACATTTCCACCTGCAGAGGGCACCACAGCACTTCATTGATTGTTTGCAAAGCTCCTATTGTGTATTTTGTGTTTCTTTCAGCGTGCTGGATTCAGTGTTGGGAGATCTGACCAGCAACTCTGCCGAGGGGACAGAGTACTTCAAGATGCTGGTGGCAGTGTTTGCACCAGAGTTCCGAAGCGCCAAAAACATGCACCTGAGAAACTTCTACATGATTGTACCCCCACTGGTCAGTTTGTTATTTGTTCGATGCTGCCACCTGTCTTTATTTTTCTTTTGATGTGTTGGTGTTTTACTCAGCAGTTCTATATTTTCTGTTATATATAATAATAATGAGATAACTTGTCTCTCCCACAGACTGTGAATTTTGTTGAGCACTCCATCAGCTGCAAAGAGAAACTCAACAAGAAGAACAAAACTGGAGCTGCATTCACAGATGATGGCTTTGCTATGGGTGAGAGAGCTCAAAACATTACACATCAAAACATTACACATTTTTAATGAAGTGTGTATTATACGGTATCAGCTCGTAGCTTGCTCTGTTCAGCTTTTGACTTTTTTCCCCTTTGGATCTGGCTATTTCTCAGGTGTGGCATACATCCTGAAGCTGCTGGACCAGTACCTGGAGTTTGACTCTCTGCACTGGTTTCAGGCCGTCAGAGATAAATATAAGAAAGAGATGAACGCTGTGGTGAAGGAGCAGAACGTCCAGTCTGCCAGCCAGGATGAAAAACTGCTGCAGACCATGAACCTCACTCAGAAGAGGCTGGACGTCTACCTCCAGGTACAGCTGATGAGGAACGAGCAGAGACGATGTGTCGAAATAAACCTGTCATCCTCAAAGTTCAGTTCTGAAATGACCAACACTGCCTGTTTGAAATACAGACAGCTCTCTCTAAAATACTTTCGATGCAAGAAGAAAACTGGACAAGTTTTATTCAAAGGCAAGATTTGAAGCCGATTTAGTAGATGGCAATCTGAAAAAAAGGAAAATATAATAAGATATGACTCAGAGAAGAAGAACAAACTTTGATGCAAACTGCAGAAATCTGGCACTAAGTGTTTTTGAAGTACCTGAGAGCTCTATGAGCTGTATGATACAGACACTGTTGCCGCTCTAACTGCTTTAGTGGGCGGAAAAATAACCTACTTTTGTTTCCTGAGGTGGTCTGCATCTTTTACTTTCTCTACACAACTCTCTCTCCACACCGGCAAACATCTGATGTGGAATAATTGCTCAATCTAAGCTCTTCATCTTCCTCTCACTTTAGGAGTTCGAGCTGCTCCACTTCTCGCTGAGCAGCGCCCGGATCTTTTTCAGAGCAGACAAGACTGCAGCCGAGGAGACTCAGGAGAAGAAGGATAAAGGTGTGATGATTAATTGAGCATTTTAATAATGCAAAGCCTCTGACACACCCTCGCTGTTATATGGGCTTCTTGAAGATGATTTTTCATGCATAGAAAGATTTCACTCTGATTTATGAAGGATGGAGTGTATGAAGAACGAGGTTCATCCTTTCTATAGATCTCACAAATAACTTTCCCTCTTTCTCCACCAGAAGAAGCTGCCAAAGCTGGAGGGGCTTCAGATATCTCCATCCCCACTGAAACTTCCTCAAAGTGAGTATCACTGTGGGGCTCCGTGTTCAGAACTTGGAGGAGTGCTCGCTTGCAAAGTGGCCAGAAGAAGTTTCAGGATGTCCCGCAGTGAAAGCACTGAAATGTGTCTGGAGGAACTTGTTTTAAAGACCATCTTCACTCGAGAATGAATGTTTACTTAAAGCGTTACTGCAGGAAGTGTCTCTTTTGTGTCCATTATGAATGAAACATCCAACAGTGTTCGAAACATCCAATAAATTCAGTTTGAATTTGTAGCATTAAAACAAGCAAATGCGGTTTGAAAAGTCAGGTGGTGAAACCAGCGTATGGTTTATTCTATGTTTTGCCATGCTGCCTTTGATACATTCAGTCTGTGTGGACTGTCTTATTTTTCTACTATAGAAGCCTCAGCTATGTGTGAGCGTTCAATTAATGACTAATATTCAACTGATTTCATTTCAATACTTCCTGCATCTTCATTGGTGTCTAATGTACTATGATTGTTCATGGCCTTTAATGGCAGCTCTGTTCTTAATGCCTCTGCAGATGATAGCACAGTGACGAGGATCATGGAGAATATTTTCAGTGTGTGATCTGTTTGTTTTAAGTTTCTTCTGTCCATTTTTTCTTTTACATTGAATGATATGATGTATGTGTGCCTTTCTAATCCATCATTATTAGTTGTGAGGCCTGATTATTTAAGTAAGAGGGCATCCAAACACCCAGAAGGCTGAGTGTGGTGAAGAAACAGAGATTCATTACTTCTCTGTCTCAGTAGAGATGTTTCATTTACACTTTTATTCCCTGATTTTGTATCTATCAACATGTGGTACATGTGAGAAAAAAGGCCATGATCTGGTCAGAATTACATTCCATGAATTAACTTGATTGAAAAGAAAAATCTGTAGTCTTTGAAGACTAATAAAACTTGCACTTTCAAAAGAGCTGAATGTTTCAATCATGACTTCGAACTGAATTTCTTAGAACTCAAAGGTAAGATACAAGAGGTTGCATGCTCTATATATTTTCACTATCTGTGTCTTATGGTGTAAACTCCTGAAAATATTTTACAAAAATGTCTGCATTTGTTCATTCTGCTTACTTACATAAATACAGAAAGAAGTTGGAAGTTGTAAAGAAACCACACATTTTAAAAAGAATAAACAATACACAGCGGTTCAGGAAAGCCTTTTCTGCTTTAATACAAAGAAAAGAAGCATTTTACTTCAGAAAATACAAGATTGGTCTGGATTTTTTTTTTCTCCTAAAATTGTCATTTTTCCATTTCCTATGAAATGCTGTTCACTGCTGTTCAAACAGTTTAAATTGAAATACATCCATTCTTTAGCTTTGGACTCTAAACTTGGGGGATGATCTCCACGTGTGACTTTCTTGTGTGTTTTCGGCTGAGAATCAGGCCTTTCCTTAAATGGCATTTAAACGTTGTATTACTTTGTTGTAAGTGCCCGCAGTGCCATGTGACACCCTGTCCAGCAGATCCAGAAATGTCCTGTTACATCCACATATTGCAACCATGCTCACCTCATAAAAACGAGGTACAAGGCAGGGCAAAATATCTTTCAAAATAGATGTCATATATATATATACATACATATATATATATATAGCAATCATATATACACATTCGTACATATACATATACTAATTTATGTGATGCAAAGAAACAAAAAAAATGTACACATTTCTTACAAAATTGTAACAAAGTCTGGAAATTGTTTTGTTTGCTCTGAAGCAACATCTGTGAGGATTCGCCCACATGTGTGGACACCAAAGTCGTCTCCCAGATTTGTGTCCATGTTCAGCTGGCACAGAACTCACAGAGAGACAGAGGGGGAAACAGAAGATGAGACAGAAAACAGTTTGTTGGTGCTAATACAGAGGTATTTCAATGGAAGGAAGAAAAAAAGGGGAGATAAAAAGGGATGCATGTGGAAAAGTTGCATGAACCCCCTGACACAACAAATGGAAAAGGAAAAATAGTTTCAGGGAGTGTTCACATAAAAAAGCACAAACAAATTTTGTGTTCTTTTATTACTAAATATAGTGCAACAATAAACATTGCATTTCTTTCAACCTTAAACTTGCGTCCGAGGATATCAACTTTGCTTTCCTCGACTTCTTTCTGTTCTTAACACTTGTGAATGTGAGGCATAACCCTTGTTCTGTCACTGTCCTGTGCCACAAGGTCAGTCCTCCTCTCTGCAAGCAAACAGGCTTCAGATTCAGAGACGTAAACATAACACAGACCCTGCTCAAAACAAGACAAAAAAATACAGCAGGAACATAAAGAATAAAAACAGAACAAGTGTTGGTGTTTTGGGCAGCATGTAATTTGGAAAGGCAGGGCAGTTCGGATGGTGGCAAAAACCCCCGCAGTCATATAGCCAAATCCTTAAGGAATAAAAACCAAGCTGTGTGAGCCACAGCGCCCCTTCTGGACAGCAGTGCTGTTGCAGGAACAACTGTGGCCTTTGGACTGGTTGGGCCTTAGAAGGCCTGCTGGGCTGGGTTGTAGTTGAATGTTGTTGGCACGTGAGGCCGCTCTTCCAGCTTCTCGTACTCCAGATGAAACTCCTTAAAGATGCAAACATGATGGAGAAAGGCTTAACCTCTTACAAACGTCACACAAGCCGAACACAGATGTAATTTTTCCAGAAAATACGAGAAGAGACAAAACTTTACCTTGGCTACTTTCCTCCAGTTAAGACAATCAAAAAAGTAGTAAGTTCCCCTCTCATACGCGTTGGTCTTTAGCGTGGGCTCCATGCCAGGGGCTCTTGTAATCCAAACCCGCTCCTCTTTGTGGTACCTCCAGTCCCGGTTAAAGCTGGACAGTGAAGGTACAAGTTCAACCAAATGAAAGTAAAAGGGGAAATCTAAGCGTCTAAGCTGTGATTCTTAAACCCTCAAACACCTATTTTATCCTTTTTTATAATATTTAACAAAAGTGGAAATTTTATCAAGCAAAACTTTTATAGTGGGAATCCAAAAAATATATCATATTACAAACCAGTAAGTGGAATACTTACAGCTCCACTGCTGCCAGAAGCTGTAGCAGGTCTGCACCATTCATGTAGTACAGGTAGAACAACAGGTCTTCACCGTATCGCGCCAGTTTAATTGCAGCCAACTAAAGGACAGCAGACAATAAATTTGTTTGGTTTGTTTTGTACCCATGAAGACTGCATTTACTGATTGTGTTCTGATGCTCATAGTTACCTTGTCCCTTATGTGGATATTTGTTAAATACTCCGAAGGAACATGGAAATCTGAAAGGTGAGCACAAATACAATATGTCATCTTAATGTAATTATAAGACTTTTCTCAGTCTGCTATCCTGACAATGGGGAGATTTTTGCTCTTTAAGACAATAAAAGTCATTATACAAAACTTTTACAAAAACCCAGCTGGCGTCACAACACTGCAGCTAGTTACCACAAATAAAAAAAACTGGCATGCCCACACAAGAAATATGACAACTTGTTACACTGCAACCAACTTCCTGCAATCAAGGAGTTTTTTTTACAGTTTCCCTTATAATCAAATGAAAATTAATTGAGTGCTAGTTCGCCCTTTCAACTACAACATCAAATACTTTGATATTTTTTGGTTCTGTGTGAAGCTCCAGATGTTTTGGTCTGAAATGTTTCTCTGCTTCTCAGATTTTCATGGTCCTGATCACCCTCCAAACCCAGAAACAGCCATTCTAGGCTGGTCACATCTGCTAGAAAGCTCTAAGCTATTGCAAATCCTCATCAATCCAGTATGGAATACTAATGGCAAAAGACACTTCCCCCTGCTTTGAGGCCTGGTTTACATAATGCTCTAGTACCTTATACATGGAGAAAATCTGATACTACTTGTTAGGAAAACTACTAAATTCAAACAGATATGGCAACCCTTCTTTGACTACTTCACAGCTCTGAAGGACCCACGTGACACGTCAATGCCTTTCAATTTCATTTCCTCATTACAACAACACAAAGGGAGGACCATAGCAAGATGTAAATTAGACTACTCCACACACGTGTTTTGTCTTCCTTTGCATCTGTATTTTGCAGAGTGTATTTCTTTTTTCTCCTTACATAAATATAGGAAAATAAAGTATTTGAAAAAAATACTCTTCTCTTATCAACACTAAGAATTAGGAAAAATCCTTAAGGTGTCATAATTGAATGCTTTCCAAGATCCCCTCTCTTTTATTTAATGGATTCATTCCCCTATTTGAGTGAGCTGCCAGATGTTTTCTACTTACATAGAAAACTGATGCCATTATTTAAGGAACAACACCATTCTAAATCTTCCCTGACAATTATCTGTCAACATTAGATTGACTTCAAGCCCTTTTCATACAGATGTTTTACAATATTGCAATAAGGAATCATGCCGTCTATGTATTTTTCAATGGAAAGAAACAGCAGTTTCAGAACACCGTGTACTGGGAGCAAGAGAGGCAGGATGTGTAGAGACAGTACTGGCATCACTTACATACACAAAGTGTGAATTTGGCCTTGTTACAAATCCTTCTGACAGCTTAACGGCAGAACAACTCTGCCTGACAATTCTGTCGTTTATACAGAATCCAGAGGCACAATAACTACAAAACAGCCTGATCATGAACAGGCCGGGTTCAAAGGTTGTTTATCAATCATCAAATACAGCAGCAGCAGATTGCAACATGAGGGCCATTGCACAGAGAGACAACATTTCAGGAGATCATATATCCAGATATATTAGATATAGCCAATTCTACTGGATATTTAGAGTTGTAGAGATATTTTTAGTGATTCACACCTCCCTTCCTGAGATGAAGAAGCTTAATAACTACCTTTCCTTACATTGACCTTCGGTCAGTCATAATGAAACTGTTTACACTGACGGCCAAATCTTGATCAGGATCGCTGAAATGCAAGTTCAAAATGTGATTGTAAATGTTCAAAAGTCATCGTCCCTCACACACTGTGCGTGAATGTCTTACCGATGTCTTGAGGTCGACACGGCGATGAGGCCCACGGAGAGGCAAACTTCGGGTACAAGTTTCTGTCAGGAAATAAAGTTGCAGCAGGTTCTTAAGATTGTTAACATTTTAAAATATCATTACAAACATGTAGAGACAATAAAAGTTATAACTAACAAGAAAGAGAAAATCTAGCCAATGCTATGATGGCAGCCAACTGAGGAGGAAAGCTCCTCAGAAAGTGGAGTCTCTTTCTTAGTCTTCACAGGTACTAAGGGAAAGACAACTTAAGTTATTCTCTGTAGTAGGTTCATATCACATTTAAAAGAAATACTTGATTCATTTTTTGCTATTTTAAGATATGATCATAAGATAAGATTAACCTTTATTTATCCCACAACAGGGACCTTTACAGTGTTACATCAGCAAAGAGAAAGGATAGACATAAAAAGAGCACAAGGCAAACAATTCAATAGTAGAAGAGCAGTGACAGAGCTGCAGTCCTTGCACATGTAGTTTGAGCATTCACAGAAATACAGAAAAAGACTATCATGCACACAGTGCACATAAAAAACGTCAACATGTCATTGCACCAATTCCGTATATTATTGTGACTCAGACATCTCCTGGCTAATGATACTTCATGTGACTGTTTTCATGATGGAACGTCTATCTTACTCAGGAGAGTTTAAGTTGAGTCCCAATGTCGTGAGGTCACTTCCTAGTGCCAGATGGACCATTCCTGGATCAGTCTCTGCCGCTCGGATAAACGTCAGCAGGCCTATCATGCCGAATTGGTCTGTCACCATGCCTGAGGGAATGTTCGTCACCCGACCTGCAGCAGCCGCAGGATATGTCAGAGTTAAACATTCTGCTGTAGCTTTTCATTTACAGTTAGTGTTTGCTGTCATACATTACCTCCACATTTCTCAACCACACGGTGTGCAAACATTGGAGAGCAAACAAGCCAATTTCTCTTACAAGTGATGGAAAGATGAAGATGGTCTTTATCAAACTGAACATATTCTCTTGGTTTCCTTTCTGTAGCATACCCTTTAATTATCTAACCCCAAATACAGGGTAGAGAACCCAACTGCCTCACCCAAGTTGTGGGATTAAGAAGGGATGTCTCAGTGGAATTGGAGCGATACGATTGGCTGAGAAGTCTCACCATCGGGCAACACCTGGATCCCTTTCTTCTGGTTGTTGTTCTGTGCTGAGGTCGTCTTGTCCCCGGGGAACTTGGGACCATCTGCGTTCGATGTGCTCTTGCTTGTGGAGTTCAAGTTCTAAGAAACCCCAAAGGAAAAACAGTTTTAAACACAGAAAAAAAAACAACCTGAAAATTATTTATAGGAAACCTTGAAACATATAGAAATTAAATCCTTTGCTGTCTGTGACTTACACTTACAGTTTTGCTGTCATCGTTGCTCAACGAGGGGTCCTTGTAGTTTGGGCCAGGCAGTGCGGGGAAGTCCTCGTTATGAATGGAGAAATCCTGTGTCTGTTCGTTTGAAGGCTTCGTCACCATGCCAACTTGATAATGATAAACACAGTGAAGCGAAGAGAGATTATTATTCCCTGAGGTGTAATACGCAGCAAATCACATAAGTGGTTCTTATTTCTGTGGACTTAGATGTTCAATAAAACCTCAGCTAGAGTTCTGAACCAAATGGAGTGGCTGAATTTCATGCCTCTACTGCTGTATGTGGGTAAAAATAAGATTTTCTCCAGCCTAATGGCCTACCATAAGGAGCCCGTCCAGCCAGTGGGTTGAGCACCGGTGTTGGGTTTCCAGTCCCTTCTCTCCGACTCCTGTCTGCTAATGCAGGAAAGTCTGACAAATCCAGTCCCGTTACATTTTCACTCCCATCTGCAGCAGTAGGAAGGTTAGGAACTTTTAATGTGTAATGTCGCCTACAAAACAATTTATCCGTGTTAATGTGGAAAGGATAAACTAGGTGTCAGTAAATTAAAAATAACCCTAGTCTAATTAAGAACTATTTACCACAGTAGAAGTAGTAGTTGTCAAAGATAAAACAATGCTCACAACATGGCTTTGCAAAAGAGACTGGTCCCTTTTACTGGTTTTTCAGTGACATAATGTATCCATTTATCCAAAAGTAGTTGCACTTTCTTTTTCAAGAGAATCTGTAAATCCGAAATGAAATACAAACATAACAAAAACGATTGATCCTTGAGCATATCCACCTGTGTTTAACAGACTAACCTGTGCCATTGAAGATGTTGTTTGATAATGAGTTGTTCATCCCAAAACCCTGATTGCGGTTCATACCAAATCCTGACATGCTGCGGAAAACAAAGAAAACCAAAACAACAGATGAGGCGTGTTTCCAAACAGAAACTTTCCCTACAAAAGAAAATTCTCCATAGGGGACCTTTAAAGGACAGCGGATCTCAACACTGAGAGTCAGACAGAATCTGTGTACCTGTTTATGGTGAATGGCTGGCGTGCTGGCTGCTGTTTGGGCATACAGATGATGCTGGGTGAGCTGCGGTTGGGGCTGCCAAGGCCCGAGCTGCTCATACTGTTGGTCCTGCCGCCCATTCCGATGCTCTGACCGACCTGAGAGTGATTCAGCATGTTCCTCGTGTTCATCGGCAATGTCCCCCTGTTAAAATACCCCAAAATCTGGTTCAGTGGATTTCAATTTCTGTTTATGTCCTGTCATATGATATTACTATTTCCAAATGATTCATTACAGTTATAAAACAACACAAACGAGCTCTCCTCTAAAGCTTTAAACTCAGACAGCTTTACACACACCTGCTTGGTGAAGGGGGGGTATGGAGGGACATGGTGGGAACCCCCGTTGTGGGGGTGATATGACTTGATAGCTGTGTGCCTTGCGTTAGATTTCTGTTTAACTGAGGCGTACTGTTTCCCATGCCCCTTATCGAGAAACCAAGTGCACCTAAAGAAAGACAAAAGTGAACAAATGTTGTCAGGCAAACCAGAAAATAGTCTCAAGTGGAATTTTATACATTCCTACTTTCAGTTACTTATCATAACTTGCTACGCTTTTTAAGCACTCTTGGTCACACTAAGTCAACAATTCATTGTCTCTCAAGTAACACCAATGTAGAAGAAAACACTAATAAAAGTTAGTGTGGGAAAAGAAACACTTACTTTGTGGGCCGTACAAACTTGCGCCGAGCTGCGACAGCTGCCCTGATGACGATGGTGAGGGAGACGAGAGCATCTGAAGGGACAACATTTGAGGACACAGGACGGAGGAAAGGGAGTAAGAAATCATCTCGTTTGCTGTTACCTCAAGAAATAAAACAATGTGCATGCTCTGGTAAAATACTTACGTCTTTGTCCGACCGATGTGGGAACATCGACGGCTGGTTGTAGTACATGCTTTCATCTGGGAAGTCGTTGTCAACAACCTCGACGAACTCGACAAATTTCTTTCTAGCACCAAACATGCCTTTGGTCGCCTGAAGATAGAGTAGAACTGTTGTTAAAGATGTGCAGGGGGAGGGAGGGGGGAGGGGGAGTAAGAGAAATAAACTAATAACATAAACACAATTTGAGACACCTCACATCTTTAACAAAGAAACAACTGTTCCTCTTTTAGCTCTATTGTTGCAAGTGCATCTATACATTATATGTGCACCCATAGTAAGTTATTAAAACAGTGTTAAATCATAACTGAGAGAAATACATTTTATATAATAATTATTATTATTATGCATCTGGTGATAGTCTAATAAAATGATTAATAATCTTTGTTTTGATAAACAATTTAGTATTTTTCTGAGTTTACCTTGTATCAAAAGAACATTCCCGGATGGTAAACTATTCATTATAACTGAGACATATAAAACATCTTGGTTTCTTAGTTTAAAATAAAGTTTATAATAAAGTTTATAATAAAGTTTATAATAAAGATTGTTTTGTAATGATTGGACGCATAAGACATAAAAAGTTCAACTTTCATAACAAAATGAAGTATTTATTTAACCCATGAGACTTGTTGAAGAAGTCAGCTGACAGTAGAGCTAAAAGTTTAATAAACTTGTGTCAGTATTGGTATTTTAAATAGTTAAAGTTGATTAATTTCACTCTATTGAAAAAAGCGATGCTAACCTGCTGGTTAGCCGACGGTCGTGTAGCTAGCGTTAGCAGGCTAGCTGTAATCAATCTGTGTTAGCTACGTTAGCTTCACATCCGCTCACAGAGGGATGCCCTATCAAGGAGATAATTGCCTTCATAACTAGTCCTTTAAACTGAACTAAACTACCGGGCGGCAGTCAGTACAGGGCAGTAACTTGTGCCCTCTCTGTGTGTCCATATATCCACAGTAAGCTGCCTGTTTCTGGGCTCATTGTCGCTCCTTGTCGGACCAGCACAAGCTACAACCTGCTGCAGCTTCAGGATAACGACCTCCGGATCAAAACCGAGCACGGCAACATGAATGTCTCATGCCCACGACTTCTATCTCTACCACAGCGATATAACACGAAGAGAAAAAGTAAAAAAAAAAAAAAAAAAATCCTCACCGCATCAATTTCCCTTCTCTTCGTTGGATCCAAGATGGCTGTGTGTGTACTCTGAATCGAAAGAGGGATAGCATTTACCCTCTGACCTTACAACCTGCTGACCACTTCCGTACACAAACTCAACCTGTCAGATTACTCCGTCCTACAGGGGGCCTGCTGGATACTTGCCAAGAGCAGAGCAAAGATCAGGAACATTATTAAAACGTGTACATTTAGGTGTTAAGACAAAAGGACCCCGCCGTGGAGCTCTGCCTCCCTCCTGTGATCACAGCATGTCTTGCATCATGAAACTAAAGTGCTGTGCTCACTACAGAGGAATGTCTCTTTAAGTAATAATGTCAGCGTATTTGTTTTAAACAATCCCTGTTTGTGTAATTCAGTTCCCCAGAGAATGAGATACATGTTTTACATTAATGTTTTTCAAATGTTCTCTGTGCCTGAGGCAGCTGTGACATGATACTGAGGAAGAATCTATTTGTTCAGAATATGTTTATTCAAAACTTTTCCATATATGTCAATCCTCTTAAAAATAATTTTAAAGGCATCACAATTCATGTTAATGATTTTCTGTGTTCTTCCTTATTAAGTCTGCTTTCATTTTGAGTTCAAAACCCAATATTAGTTACAGTCAGTTCAATAACTCATCCCAGGATTATAATAAACAGACATTAACAACTACTGTGGAAAAAATGTGTAAGGAGAAACCATGAAAGGAACAAGAAATTGGTCTTTTTCTAACATCATTTTTATTATTTTCAATATAAAATGTCAAAGGCACTGAGCATGTAGTAAAATATACCATCCACATATCAGCGTTATGTATAATCTACAAATAAGACAATATGGGTACAGTAGTTGTGAGTTTCTTAGGTATACTGTTTATCATTTGTGTAACAAATGTAAATCTGAGGTCTGGTGGTGTCATACTGTTGATGTTGTGTTGCAGCTAATTCTTGCCCTAAGGCTCATTTCATACAACAGTTTTTTAGGCGCCTCAGACAAATAGGCTAAACCCTCTTTTTTGTGCCTTCATAATGAGCATGAAATTGGTGTTGAGAGACCATGTGACGATGTCTGTGGTGTGAAAACGCAACAAAATCTACGGCTGTCCTAAAATTCAAGCGACTGTTCATTGATGAAAGTAGTTCTGTGAATGATATCTTTTGTTGTAATAGTGGTTAGATAGATATTATTTTAATAGCATAAAGGTTAAATTCATCTCCAAGTTCCCTCCAGTAAGCCCTCTCATCACTCACTTATTAGCTCAATCATTGTTGTGCCAACGCCTCAGAATTTTATGACTGTATATTTTCACATTCAGCATCACACATATGCGTTAACAATTTGGAAAATTGTGGGCCGAGACAGGAGCCCTGAGGTGCACCAGTCACAAAACTACAATTTCCTCCCCTGTTCCTCCAGTTTAGGGTTTACCTGTCAATAAACCAAGTAGCTAGTCATGGAAAGTGTTTCCCTGTGCAAAACTTCTGCGTTTGAATGGCACTTTTCCAATGGCCATTGGTTACATCTGTGTTTTTCTCTGCAATGACAAATTAAAACATTTACTCTGAACATAGTGTGTTGTGGAAGTCATATGGCTGTTTGCTCAGGCTGTTTGGAGCCCCAGGGATGTGCTAAAAACAGTGTGTCAGTGAGTGAAAACAGACGACAGACTAACATTGCCCCTTGTGATAAGGGAAATGAAATTCCTGCTCAGTTTTATCTAGTTGGAAAATAGCTCTAATGAAGGTATGCCTGATAGCATGGGGATGGTAACACCTCTAACAGGTGGGGATGACATGCTATTTCCTTCAGTTCAGGAGAAAGACCCTGTTGAGAATTATACATTGTAAGTGATCTTAGTATTCTTCAGACCTCTTAAAAATTAATTATTTTTCCCTCTAAGACATTTTAAATGAAGTCAGTGGACAACACTCTCTTCATTCTCAATTTGATCAACATTTTTAGAGGTTACTTGAAAGTGTTGGCCTACTTTTCTGTAACACTGGCAAATACCCAGAACTTTGTCCAAGCTGACAAAAACAACATATAAATAAGATAACCTTTCTGCTCTCATTACAAACCACACTGTTCTTACGCCTAGCCATGGCACCCTGCTCCTTCCCCTTCTCTCTCGCTCTCTCTCTCTCTCTCTCTCTCTCTCTCTCTCTCTCTCTCTCTGTCATTGTGTAGAAGAAGGGGGAAAGTCATTAGGGAACAAATGGGGAGGAGAGAGCAGCCAGTGGTTGCTATCACCATGAAAGTCAGGGCATAGCTTAGAGACACTGAGAGATAGTAAGATGGTTGCACTGGGGAGTATCTGCCCAGAGAAAACAATGCGTTGAAGTTGGATAAACAGAAGTCTTATTGTGGGAGATGTTGGGAGTAATGGACATCAGATGGAATACATCAAATGTAAGTGTTTATTTTAAATTGTCATTATAATCTCCTTTACATATACTATGATTCCTTTAGCATTGGCCAATGACATTGCTTATTTTCTATTGTTACAATTAATCAGCATGACTTTTATTACATGTAAGGGTATAATTCAGTATCATAATTAATGACACAGCTTTATATGCTGATGCAGTGCATTGTCACAAACTTGTTTTGTTTTTCACATATTATCAGGATCAATATCTCCACAGGGGCAGAGGAGGAGCATTAATGGGATGCCAACAGATTCACTTGAGGATGCCCACAGTCTGTCTCAGGGCAACCCTTGCCTGGCTCTAAATTGAGGAAGAGCATCAGATGTGTCAGAAAAAGTGACTAAAATGGGTAACGCCATGCGAGGCCTCATCGCCTTCATCCCCTCAGAGCGCTGTCAACGCTTCATAGTAGGGGACCTGAAGGAAATGCCTCTGGATCGGACTCTGGACCTGAGCAGCCGACAGCTGCGTTGGCTGCCTCTAACCGCTTGTGTCTTCGATGAGCTGGTGAAGCTCTACCTGAGTGACAACAACCTCAGCAGCTTACCTGCTGAGCTGCAGGGCCTGAAGAAGCTGCAGCTCCTGGCCCTGGATTTTAACCATTTTGAAGAGCTCCCTGCAGCTGTTTGCAAATTGACCCAGCTCAGCATCCTTTACCTGGGTAACAACAGGCTTTACTCCCTCCCCCGAGAGCTGGGAGAGCTCAAGGATCTGAATACTCTGTGGCTGGAGATGAATTGCTTCACTGCTTTTCCCAACGTGGTCTGTGACCTACCTAATCTCAAGACCCTGCACCTTGGTTACAACCAGATCCAGAGTTTACCCAAGGAGCTGGGGATGCTGGAAGAGCTGCGGAGTATCTGGCTCGCTGGTAATCAGCTGACAGAGTTCCCTCAAGTGTTGCTGGACATGCACTTCCTCGCTGTCATAGATGTGGATCGAAACAGAATCCACCGCTTCCCAGGCCTGTGTCACATGCAAGGGTTGAAACTTGTCATCTATGACCATAACCCTTGCGTCAACGCTCCTGCAGTGGGCGAGGGAGTCAGGAGAGTTGGGCGCTGGGCGGACTGTTCAGATGACGAGCAGGAAGATGACGGGTCTAAAGCAGCAAGTGACACAACAGCAGAGGTCACAGAAGTTCACCCAGAGGAGGAGGAAAACATCTAGGGTGAAGGAACAGAGTGACCTTCAGCTGTGGAGAGACCAGGCAGCACTGGACTGTATTCAAGTGGGACACTTAAAGTGGAGAGGTGTTTTTATCACAACAGGCTGGTGGTGGTTGGTCCATGTGGGGCAAAGTCAGGGAGTCAAGCATTAATACATAAAGTTGTCCAGAATGAGGTCGTATGAAACCTGAAAAGAAATTTTTTTTTACTTTATTTGGTTACCTAAACTTTATAATTGTTAATCTCTTGTTTGAATTTTTTTTTTAAAAACCTCTTTGTACACCTTGCAATGATCGTTTTATTTCTTGAATTTTTACCAATGGGAAATTTTTGGTTTTGAAGCTTTATCCTCATTGTACAACACAAATATATTCAATGTTTCTTATTTACAGAGAGAATGGTTTGCTGATAAATGGTGTAAACCAAAACCATGAAGTTATTGCCTCATAAAGAAAAGTTACAGATTAGAGTCTATTAAGTACAATTTAACCAGAAGACAAAGTTCACAGTTACGCTCAGGAACATTTCAATTAGCTTCAGAGACTGGCAGGTTTAATGCCACTCCAAAGGAGGACAGAGTTTGTTTGTTGTTCCAGTAAGGTGAGATTGCAAGAATACAGCAGAGCCTTAAAAAAATGAGACAAAGAAAACAAAGAGCCCGACAGATACCTACATTGTTACAGTCAAATAGTTTTACTTTCATTTCAGCACAAATCTCACTTAAGTACTATTTCACAATAATGGGTAAAATAAGCAATTTGAAGTTATTTCAAACTTGTGTTTGTTTTTGGAAAGCATCTCGCGACACCCTCCCAGTGTCTCGCGACCCCCACTTTGGGAACCATTGAAGGGATGTGCTTTTTAGAAAAATGTCTTCCATTAATGTTGCTTTCTTTTAGTTGGATGATTTTGCAAAACTTGAGATGTTCTTCAGAAGATAAACCTTATGGCACAGAGTTTATCTGCAAAGCCCGGAGAAAGACAGAACACATTATTTATAACCGAGCTGTGAAAGGAACATGCAACTTTGTAATTACTTGTTATTAATTGTTGGATCACTGTTATTGTATGAGGGTTGGGCACTTTGTGTGAAGGGCACGTAAATAACATACAAACAATCAATCAATCAAAACTTTATAGAATTTTAGGATATCTTCGGGAGCTGTCTGTCTTCGCAATCTTCTTTTTCTATGTGATCAATACATCTGGTGGTTTCTCCTGACTGTAAAACATTATGATCATTTCTGTGCAATTGACTATGAAGTTCATTATTGCTGAGGCTCTTTTAACTGTCATCTAACAATGTGTCCATTACCTGGTTTCAAACGATCCAAACAGAACACAATTGTTAAGTAATGGAAAAGTAAATGTTACAATCAACAAAGGCTTGAGATATTAGGATCTAAACTCAAAATAAAAGGGATACATTACTCATTCTCATACCCTCATTCTAGCAGAGATTATATCTGTACCTGCTTTAGGCTAAATACAGAGGGCTTTTTAATACCTCTGATTGATGGTCTAAGTCCATTAGTGCACTTCTTGTTCAGACCAATGCATAATTCATCTGATAGATCGAGGATGTGGTTTTCTGCTAATGGGCCTTAATATAATTTCCACAAAGTTCAGATTTCAAACACATCATAAATGCAGCTTTCCACTTCCTGAGCGTATCAGGGAAATGTAGGATTAAATGTCAACACTTGTGTCATTTAGGGTATTTTAAGTCCTTTTCACCAAAGCGTAGGAAAGAGATTAAAACATTCTGCGCACCAGCCATTTTAGTGGAAAATGTGATTATTTCAAATAGCATGAACACACTGAACTACTGTATTTCCAGATTTAATCAGCATCCTGTTCCAAAAGACAACCACTTTATTGTATAATTAAGGGACACTTTTTTTCTCTCATATCATTCAAATACAGTTTACTGTGTCAATCAACTTTTTGATTCTATTATACTGCCCCCTAGCTAACTTTGACCATAACATTCAAACTTCTATCTCACATCATGAGCAGTAAACTACAGTATGAGACCAACTGGGGATCACTTTGTGTCATTTAAAATAAGGGTCTTTTGAAGTTATGTTCATTAACACATTTTTTATTGATCATTTATGTGTTCTTTCTGAAAGTCGTGGCATTGATCTCTGTTTTGTAAACTCATTTTTCTTCCTTATACCACATATATAAGACTTTGTATTTTTCCCACTCTATATTTGATCCTTTTTTGTTTTCTGTCATTAACTTTTGATTTCAAACTTCACTCTTGTTGTTTGAGAAGCTGTCTGCATCAAACTGCACTATAAATGCAGACACTTTATTTACCCTGTTCCTATCCGTGTGTGTGTGTGTGTGAGATATCATTCTGGATTGATTGTCATTCATCTTCAGTCATTTCTGACTAGATTTCACCAAAACCACCCCAGTTTTAGGACAATCATTTTTTTAAAGAATTTACAAAAATGTGTGTAAGAGTAGCAATGACCATAGTGTTTTATTTTATTATGATACATTTCCAGAAACTGTTATTTATGTTGATTGTTTATTTTTATTATTTATAACTGTAAGAACATTTCTAAAACAGGTCGGATGGACATGCATCACATTGGATAACTTTTTGATTTTACCCACAGCTAATATTGTTTGACTCATGGTTAAAATGTTATGAATCAAGTATTTAAGACAGATTAAGAAAAGAACAAGCACATTTTTGCATTTTGAAAATGTTCTGTAATGTTTGACTGTCATACTTTGAATAAACAGTTTAGATAAAACTCCATGATTTATTCCTTAAACGCCTCATATATACAGTATGAGGCTATGGTTCATACCACAAGGGTTTCAAGACATTTTTTCATTTATATTGATACCTACCTAATATATTATATATATTTCATAAGGAGAAATAAAGCAGTAGACAGAGACAGTAAAGAAAGCAATGTGCATAGCTGTACGTTTATTTATTTGTTACATGTAAACACACACTAATGTAACTCAACAGGCTTTAACAAGGAGATTCTTCAGAACAATCCATGATCCCGATTTCGCAATATCTTTGGTACGATTTCCTACATCAAGACAACTTGCACACAACTCTCTTATAAACGTGTTTAAGCTCAAAGCTTCCCTGGAGTGGAGGTTAAATATGTAGAGACTGAAACATATTACAACAATGCTTCGCTTAATCAGCTCTAAAAGCCAACACCCAAACAGTAACTTAATGTATCCTTCATTTGTTCCTTATGTAAAAAAAAAAAGAACATTCAATTGACAGGCATCATAACTAACAGAACTAATTTTAAATACCCAGTTAAAAGACATTGGAGCACAACACTAAAGTGCAGACGGCAAAGTGCACTGTAACAGATACTAATGAATACAAAGATCTGATGGAATAGAAGACAACCTTTAAAGTTCACAAATTATTTTTTAGCGTGCCACGGCGGTGATGTGATCTTTAACAACAAGACAGACTGTCTCTATGTGAAGGTTGAAAGCATGATAAAAGCATCAAACCTCATAATACCCTCAGGCAGCAGCCTTTGCGTATTTTCTTTCTAAGAAGTCGTTACCGACAAAGACTTTATTCAGGAACATCTCCTGAATCGAATTGCTCTCAGAAAAAGTGTCACGAGGATTATTCCTAAATCCTCCAAATCGCTCAAATTCACTTTTGGAAATCCAACATTAATTTAGCTCACAGCACGAGGCAGCTACATTCCAAAACAGAATTCATTCTGCTCAGTGTTTGACCGTGACTATTTCTTTAGGGAAGGAGTGCTGGGATGGGTGACTCATCTAGTGTTGGAGCTGGCCATGGTTTGAGAAAATGCTACCTTACTGACGTCATTGTAGTAATAGATGGACAGGTTCGCCTGACTCGAAGAGGGTGTGTTAAATCTGTAACACCTGCTGATGGTTATGCCGAAGTCCTTCAGGGGATACAGTGCGAAAAGAAGTTAGAGCTGGAATGTGGAACCTCCTGCTATGGACTTCTGCAAAACTCAGATGGTACAAACATGTACAAGTGCTACAGTACAATAAGCAGAGAGAAAACGAGCAGAGGTTACAGAGACAGTTACAATGAGGTAAACTGTTTTCAGTACAAGACAATAAGCTGCGGTTTGTTAGCTAAAGCAAGACAAGTTCTAATATTTTCATGCGTATGTCGAAGCCAGAAAAAAACAATGGGTTCTGCTTTTTGTAAAAGCCTACGGGTACAGGTGAATGGTTCACTGGCTCATCCAGGGTCCAGGTCTCTGTCGGAGTTCTGTCTCCCCCTGGTGTGGCAGCTCACATCGTTCCAACCCGCCTTGGCTGTCCTGTTCCTCGGGCTCCTCAGAGTCATGAGACTCTTCATCCTTGGAATCTGGCTCATCAGCCCTGGAGGCATCTTGGACCAAAGAGGGTTCCTCTGATGGCAGGTCATCTGCTGTGACATTTCCCTGGAATTCAGAGACCGCAGTCACGGTTTCTATGGACATAGAAGCATCAGGGTCTTTCTGGGAGTTTTCCTTTTCCATGCGCTTACGGGCCTCCTCTCTCTTCTGCTGGGTGCGAGTGCTGTCTCCCATCATAACCCTGACTCTCACTTGGTCTGGAGGCAAGAGCCCACCCCATATGAACTGCAGGTAGCTGAACAGCACGATGACACTGAGGAAGGCAAAGTTGGTGGCCACACCAATCACTGCAGAAGTCAGGGGGAAGTTGTACAGAACATATCTAATACCAGTGAAGTAAGCATGGATACGGAGCTGGGATGAGTAAATTTGCACACGTTTTGACTGGATCTCAATGACTGCGCCAACTGTGGGTTCATAAGAATTCATCTTGTAATCTGCGAATAGCTCAACATCTATGAGCTGCTTCTGCTCAGTCATGCCAGTGAGAAGAAAAGGAGAGAAGAGTAAAGTACCGAGGGTCTGCAGGAGGCTGGAGCGGTAATGCAGCATAGTAGACCGGCCCACTGATGAGACAATCTTCCCACCTTTGGTATAA